CTACATCGATGTAGCCATCGATGTAGCCATAGATATCTATGAATTCATGAAAACTATCAACATGCATATGTGTCTGGGTCTAGACCTTAGATCTAATAATGCGAGTTCGAACTCGCTAATCCATCTAACAGGTCTAAACCTGTTAGATCTCGCATTATTAGATCTAAGGTCTAGACCCAGACACATGTTGATAGTTTTCATGAAATTTCATGGTATGTTCACTGTTTCACAATCACTGTGATATATTACCTATCCGGGAACTATAAGGGCTCCATCAGGCATTCATTACAGAATGTTTTCATGGTTGATGCATTCTTAATGCATACTTATATGACATACTTACATAAAACCGCTTAATACCAGTGTAAGAATGTTTAAGAATGCACACCCGCCTCCTCCATGTTCTTCCGTCGTTCTTATCGTTCTTAAGCATTCTCCTAAGTTTCTTAACCCCCCTATGTTGGTGAAGGTGGTGTTGAAGGCGGTGGTGGTGGTGGAACTGCAAAGACTCTGGGGCAAACATCTGCCGGCGCACTGCCCCCAAAGTCTCCATCACAATTCCTAGTCGTGAGCAGCGCCCAGCGGTTGCCCAGCTTGTTGACACAGGTCAGGTCCAGCCGTCCATCGCCATCGCAATCGAGGACCCGAAACACGTCCTCCATTTCCACGCTCACGCACCAACCGGCAGGAGGTGTGCAACCTTTCCAAGCAAGCAGCCAATGTGTTTGGAAAGAAAAGGAAAGGTGTACAGACGGAGGAAGTGAGGTTAGTTGGTTAGTCAAACAACCACTTGCTCATCGACTGGGCCCCGTTCGTACAAACCCGGTTGAGTTTAAATCCCCATAATCCCTTATTCATGCCCTTGGATGTTACACAGGACCCGACCCTAGCTCTTACGCTAGGACACGATGTGGTTAACATTAAAACAAATCTACACTTGCACGGCAGCCTGCCGCATGCAGTTGCACGACAATATTACAACATACACAGCATGTCCTCTCAGACAGAAGAGTGCTCCGTAAATATTCCATTCCTTAAAGCCCGGGCTTCGGGCACCAAGGCCATGCTAACCTGTGAATGTTGGTGAAGGTGGTGTTGAAGGCGGTGGTGGTGGTGGAACTGCAAAGACTCTGGGGCAAACATCTGCCGGCGCACTGCCCCCAAAGTCTCCATCACAATTCCTAGTCGTGAGCAGCGCCCAGCGGTTGCCCAGCTTGTTGACACAGGTCAGGTCCAGCCGTCCATCGCCATCGCAATCGAGGACCCGAAACACGTCCTCCATTTCCACGCTCACGCACCAACCGGCAGGAGGTGTGCAACCTTTCCAAGCAAGCAGCCAATGTGTTTGGAAAGAAAAGGAAAGGTGTACAGACGGAGGAAGTGAGGTTAGTTGGTTAGTCAAACAACCACTTGCTCATCGACTGGGCCCCGTTCGTACAAACCCGGTTGAGTTTAAATTCCCATAATGCCTTATTCATGCCCTTGGATGTTACACAGGACCCGACCCTAGCTCTTACGCTAGGACACGATGTGGTTAACATTAAAACAAATCTACACTTGCACGGCAGCCTGCCGCATGCAGTTGCACGACAATATTACAACATACACAGCATGTCCTCTCAGATAGGATGAGTGCTCCGTAAATATTCCATTCCTTAAAGCCCGGGCTTCGGGCACCAAGGCCATGCTAACCTGTGAATGTTGGTGAAGGTGGTGTTGAAGGCGGTGGTGGTGGTGGAACTCCCTACAAACACGGAGGGGGGTTAAGAACGTTCTTAACTCGTTCTTAGCCCAGCCAAATTGATAAAATTGAATAACCATTAGAACGTTCTTACACCGTTCTAAGAACGTTCTAAGAACGTTCGTAAGGCATCCGTTTATCTTAAAACCATTCTTTGAAATTCTTTAGCATTCTTTGGGGCCCAGCAGTCTTAGGTATTCTCTTCCATTCTTTGGGGTGTTCTTATTCGTTCTTAGACCAACTTAGTGTTAAAGCATACTTAGCTGCTCTTTGGCCGGTTTTAACCATTCTTATCATAGGGTTGCTAAGTATGGCACTCGTTCTTAAGTCTCATTCTTAAGAAATAAAACCACTCTTTACCATTCTTTAGCATTCTTTAGGGCCAGCAGTCTTATGTATTCTTTTCGTTCTTTGGGGTGTTCTTATACATTCTTAGGCCAACTTATTCATTCTTTGCCTAAAGCATACTTAGCTGCTCTTTGGCCGGTTTTAACCGTTCTTACCATAGGTTCGCTAAGTATGGCACTCATTCTTAAGTCATATTCTCAGGAAATTCTTTTTGCTGCTTACATTCTTAAGCCTTAAAAAATGTGGGATTCTTAAGGGTCATGATGAAAATTCAAACACACGTTTCGACCTCTGCATTCTCACATGCACCTCTATTGGTAGGCGCCCTTTATTAGGGTATCCACATGTAGGTTATTCTTACATTGAAATCCATTTCGCGTATTGTATTGGAATCGAACCTAAGACTGCGATACTATTATACTATAATGTTTCCCTAAACCTATGCTGTAATAAACGACACCTCAACTTAAATTGTTGTCACAGCATCCAAAGGTTCTGTATCTATTCTAAAACGTGTGCGTATACTATGAGCTGCGCCAAGTGCCGTACACGAACATATGTGCGTGTACGACAAACAACTCAACACCTGTTCAGCAACTCAGCTATCAGCCCTGGCCCCTGTACAAAAACCTGGCGTGCAGCCTGACATGGNCACATACCTGCTGCAGCC